ACCTGCAGTTAAGTATACAATAAATCCAATGCTAAATAGCACAGTGGGTCAGTTTTACATTTCATCACCTTGTGTAAACCACTTATGGGATTCAACAAGCCATGTTAGTTCCTGGGTACTTTGAAGCTCATTATTGACTATACACAGCAAAACGTGCAGTGTACCTTGAAAAGTTGATTCAAGCTCTGGAGTATTCAAAGTTCATCTCCAAACACACAGTCACTGCTCTTATAGTAAATCCTGTGCAGCACTTCGATAATAGAACCTTGCCAAATCAATACTATCTCAAACACAAGAAATATCATGTTTTGTAAGAGATTCCACATGTGTATACAAAGGGACTTCTTACTCAGTGCAGTGATTCCATCCAGTTGCCATCGCCTTACTGATTATGTAGCCTTTCCCTCTTTGTTAAAACTCCTTTCTTAAGATCATGACATGTGATGCAGTACACTTCTACAGAAGCTAACTGGCACACAACTCAGGTGAAGGTTCTTCTTGCGTGAATCTTCCTTGGTTTGAGACAAATGAGTTTAGGCTATGCATCCACAGATGGTAATATTGACGCATATTGTTTTCCCCTTCCTAGTCTTGGAAGAATAAAGTCAATCACCATTGGGTTGGCTTAGATCAGCTAATTCAGCACAGACTAGTGATCGAGCTGGTCCTTCTGCAAATGTGCTGTTCAGTAGCAAAACTCACTGTACCCTGCCTAAATAACAACAAAATTACATTTGTAATAGCACCAGGGAGGATGTCCCAAGAGCTGGACAGTCAGAGTTTCGAACCATAACTGAATCACCACACAATTCATTTTAAAAAAAATGTTTTGCAAATATTCTTACTGTCACATGAATTGTCTCTGCAAAACTGCCAACAATGCAACTAAAGGCAAGTTGCCATTCCCAGCTATCCCAGAAACCAAGCCTTATGACAGCATTCCAGAATGCTAATATTACACCTTTAAGTGAACACAATTGGATAAAGAGAATATTTCACTGATTGCCAAGTGCAGGGTTCCAATTAAGACTTAAGTGTTAGCAATGAAATCCAAAGAAACTAGTAAATATTTTATATTCTTGTTGGATATTATTCTAAATAAAAGCACCAACCGTCTTGATCCATCAATCAGTATTGCGAACGTTTAGGAATCCTATTTGAAACAAATATTTTAACATGCAATCCAAGTTTTCACAATGTATTTAGCAAAGCTATGCTGACAATTTGACAACTAGTAGATTTATTCCATTGCTGTTGCAATTAATTTACTAAATATGTATGCATGCTACTAATCTTATAATCTTCTGTGAAATTGAACAGATTTATTGGTACACGATAAGAATTTATGAATTTAAACTTAATTGTATTACACCTTTCCACTGATCAATGAAAAAGTATCACTATATTTGTCTTGAAAATGAGATAAAAATGATAAAAATCAAATCAAACAGCAATTTGATGAATATTTCCTATTTATTTTATTCATTAGAAGGCAGTTATTTGATATACAATAATTATTTTCTTTCACAGTAGGGTACTGAACCTTTTTTTGTGTAGTGTGCATGTATTTTCCATGCTTTTGTCCTTGCTTTCCCACCCAGAAGACCTCGACTTCTGTGCAGTGTTCTTTTCTTTCATGCTGATGCTGTGAATATCACAAGACAAAATCAATCAATAGTTCACCCAATATACTTTCTCTTCTTCTGTCAGTCATTTGTGTCATATGTAACAGCAGCTGTTGAACAAGATTGTTAATAGATTCAATGTAAAGTCAATACCCAAGTAAGAGGTGCAAAATGAGATGCCTGCTCTGTTCACAGTATGTCAATCATGCTTTTAACAGAAACCACCAGATATTATAGCAGTTCAGCATTCAACTAACTTTATGCAGCATTAGTAACTTATTCTTTGTTAGCATACAAAAAGAAAGCTCTCCAATTCATGCGCACAAAGCTATTTTCTGAAAATTGCACTTATACATCCAAATAGGAAAACATTTAGCTCAAAATTAATTTACATACAATTGTATGTTCATACTACCGGCAAAGTCATTGAATCCAGATGCAAATGGATATTCAGGGTTCTAAGTTCATTTTACTGGATTGCTCATGAGGAAAGCCAACTTGTTTTGCACTGCTCATGCAAGAAATGTAAATCTTCCCCAACCAAGACCTCGGAGGGATCCTTTTTGGCAGGTCAAGAACAAACATATATTGTTCATTGCTGACAATGCCCTATTTGTTTCTCACCCTGAGCTGCCACTAATTAGAAGCTTAGGTCAATTATTTTAAGTCAGCAGGTATCATCTTTGGCCTAATGTCATTCCCAAACATTTTGCAATTTCTTACCAATGGAACAGACTGTGCATTGAGGTACTGTATCAGCTAAAACCAAGTAACTTGTTATTGAGAGGAATATCTGGCAAATTTCTCGCTTGGAACTCAACTGGATTCTGATATTCTGTTGCCAAACATGTCACCTTGGAGCAAGCTCAGCCCAAACGATAATCTGTTGACCTTTTCCGCCACTCAGCCTCCCCCCTACAGAGAATAGATTGATAAATGTGATTGCCCACTGCCTACACACTGTACTGTGTTCTTTAGAAACCTTCAACAGTTGACAAATGTTCACTTAAACAGTAATGTACATGTATATACCCAGCTGTATCAATTTTACATATTCATTTATAGGATAATCCTTAGGATAATTCAAAATTTAAGCGATATGGAAAAAAAATCCTGCACAAACGGTAGTGTATGCTGCAGCGTGGCAGGATATGGATTAGCAGGTGTTATTCTGCTGAATTGAGGAAAGGGAATACAAAATATGCCACTTTACCAAAAGGAAGATGAAAAAAATCATATTGCAAGTCACAACAACAGCAACCAAATTACATTTATAGAGTGCCTTTCACGTCGGGAGGGTTTCCAAAGCACTGAACGGTCAGGTGTTGGGGCCCGAGCATGAGGGAGGGGTAGTGTAGGGGTGAGGGAAAGCAGAGGTGGGAGGGAGACCAAAGGCACGGTCGAAGAGAAGGGTCTTGAGACCGGCCTTGAAGGAGGCAAGGGAGGAAGCGAGGTAAAGGGACCGTGGGATGGAGTTCCAGAGTGTGGGGGCAGAGGGGCTGAAAGCCCGGCCACCGATGGTAGGGTGGGAGACATGGAGCAGGCCGGAGCCCAATGAATGGAGGGGGCGGGCAGGTTGGTAGGGAAGTCACCTCAGATTTCTTATGTGAGTGCCAATGTTTAATTAGCACAGACATTGTCAAAACAAAGAAATGTGCAGCGTGCGGAAAAACATTGTTAGTATTAAAAAAAACTTTAATGGCACTTTCATTCATGCACATCGTTGGAGACAAAACATCACAAAAATGCCCTTTTTGGAAGACCCCTTTAAATGTAAGTTAATCTCACAAAAATTATATTCCTGACACTTGATTTAGAGCCTTTCACGCCAGGAAGCTGTCACAAAATCCTACACATGATGCACAGAAACTTATAACCATACTTTTGTTGGCCAATGCAGGAGCCAATTTGCACAAAGCCATGTCCCAAATGAAGTGAATGACCAATTTTATTTGGGGAATTGTAGGTCAAAACACCAGGAGAAATTCCTTTCTCTTTTTGAATAATAATATTCCTTGCATTTGGTATAGCTCCTTTCACATCAAGAGGGTATCCCAAAGCACCTCACAGGATATGTTGTAAAGTGGAGTGTGTTTAGAACTCTCAAATCCTAGAAATGTTCAAACCTTAATACTGTGTTTTTAATTAAAGATATAAAGCATATAAACTGCTATAGATATGTACTTTTTCAGTAATTCTCAGATGCATATTGGTACAGCTGTTTAACAAGGTACATTTATTGCTGTCCAATAAATTTTTATTCATTATTATTTACTTATTTCCACTTTTAGCAATGGTCAAAGTCAGTAAATATCAGCTTACCTCAACTTGATGCCAATTGTACTCGTATCTCCTGGACATCAGTGACGACATGAATGAATACACATCACAAAGCAGAACAAATGTAGCAGACAACAGCAAACTTCACACAGAAAACGTAAGAACGACCAAGGACCTATTTTTTTTTAAAAACAAATTCTCCAACTATTACAGGATGTAGACACTTTGGTGTCCTACAGATTGGTGCGTAAATCATACGCGGAGGTGACCTATGAACACTGCAATGAAGTACAGGTGACCTCAGGCACAGGCACTGTATGTACTTAAGATGCATCCTTGGCACCCAAGTGCATTACTTGGCTTCAGAACCGTCACATTTTCTGCTTGTGATCTGGGACAAAGCGTTTTTGAGAGCAATGCTTCGCAAATAAATCTTTTCACTTGTTTTCTTGATCTTTCAGAAATCCTTTAATGATTTCCTTAAACGTATTTTTTTTTTGCCAATTTTCATCCCTTAATGTCTCCCCTTTTGACATGAAAAATGTTAAGCCTCCCCCACTCCAGAACTGTATTTTAATGGATAAAATCCCTACTTTACTGTTTCTGATTACAATACCAAAACTGAGTGCAGAGTAAGATTATTTTTCTCTATCTTTAGTTAATTTAGTTAAAATGCACATCCATTTTACCATTAATATCTTTACAACAACGTGCTTACATAGCACTCTACCTGTGCTTCAATACTGGTATTTTACTATCTACCAAGATCAATTCGATACACAGATTCATGGCAGATCTGGTCTGATCATTTTGGAGCAATTGTATATTCTGGGTGGGGAGAATTCTGGGTGGGGAGAATTATATTATGAGATCGATCAGGGAGGGCCAGAGGTGTAGGAGTTCAGATGACTCCAGGGCAGTGGAGAGGGAGGAATTTTTTTTCCCTCACGGATGATATGTGATGGTGGAGGGTTGAGAAAGGGGAAGGAGTACGGAGGTGCTGAGGGAGATGAAGTGGTGGTCCGAGATGGCTTTATCGATCAAACGCTGCAAGAAATATCAGATCATCACAAAGACATAATCACTTTAAAACTATTTAGTTCAAAGCAAAATGCCATTTTATTGTCATTATTAATGTGCAAACAAGGCACCAAAATTCTGACTTGGCATCAGATTTAGCACCACCAATTAACATGCTGTACTGCCAATTATAAATCCTAGAAAATCAAAACAAAAAAGGGTAGCTCATATCACAAATGTAAGTAAAATACTTATGGTAATTATTTACATAATTAATTTACAGGTGAAATTATCTAAAATATTCAGCACAAAAGTATAAAATAATTAAAAATATAGCAAATCATACTTCAGAAGGATATTGCTTCCAAAATAAAAGGGCATATAATGGCAATATTTCCTCTTGGCCCATTAACCAACAGTTTACAGAGATCTACGTTCTCTCCAGGTACAATGTTTTCCTGAAGGAAGGAGTCTCTTTTCTTGAGGCAATTGAAGCAAAATGGATTGTGAGGTAGTTTGTTCAAGTCGTTCTTTGGTACAATGCATTTCAATGCGACAGTTTATATTGTTCAGGTGATTATGTGTTAACTCCGTAAGCCTGAAAAGTTGGAGTCCTGCATTTATCAAATGTCTGTTCATTGGTACAACTGTGCTGCCCAATGACAGAAACTGCAAGTTCCTCACATTCTTCTTCAGCCTCAGAGTCACTGTTTATTAAGGTCTGAGGATTACTATGAAGAGTCAACGACTGAGATGCAGTTGATTGGATATAACCAGAATAAGGATCTTGATGTGCTCGCCACAGAGGCTTTCCAAATGTTCCTGCAAACGAATAGAGATGCAATGTAAGCAATCTGAAGGATACAAATAAAGCAAGAGAGTTCCCAAATTAATTTGAATTGTACATTGATAAGAGTATTTACTTAATCATGATCTGCCGAGTACTAAATGCCCCTTGCAGACTTCAAAATATTTTCTAGCAGGCAACATATAAATAGAAACGTGATCAAGAGCCCAGAGGGTAATCCAAACAAATGAACACAGCAAAGGTACACAAATTCAAATTATTGGGTAACATTTAAAGATCTAGCTTGCAAAAGATATTTGCCAACTTATTTTGTAACAGGCCATGTGATAGAATTATATATTTAAAACAAAAGTAGCACCATAACAAAACAATTTTGTTCAACACTGGAATGGAACAGTTAAGATAAACAAATAGAACAGAGGTTTTGAAGGGCTAAAAATACTCGCAACTTGTTTTTTTAAAAATTCTACTGAAGCATTTTAAGTTGGTGATACGTTAATGCCCATTGACAGATTCGGCCAGAAGACAAATTCCTTCTCCTCCACTTTCAGTGAAGCAGAAAAAACACTGTATGTGCAAATTTTTAATCCTGAATAAAAGCAACATTACAAAGGTGCAATCAACCACAGAATTCAAAGTATTCTTTGAACATAACTTGCGTTTCCAGAATGTAAGACGCATGTTTATCCACTTCCTAACTTATAGCCCCTCACTGAAGGAGCAAAATAATTGATGGGAGCATGGATACAGCATTAAGAGGACACAAGAAAATATAAAACGTTCACCTTAAAATAAGGCAAAAAAGTACAGCTACTTTTTTTATCATCACCAAAGCATACCGCAAAATACACAAAAGCTGACATATAGCAAAGTGACATACCACCATATGTGCTATGTGTAGTTCCTAGCTGTTCTGGATTCTTGCTTGAAACAGGGATGTCAATAGCAGCCCCTTTGCGCACAGTGTGAATAGAATTGAACAAGTTCACATTTGGTAGCTGCATCATAGTGCTTGCAACAGCGTGGTCAAAAGGATCTTCATGAGGCACTTGTGTATATGGACAGAACTCACTTTTCTTAGAATATGCGTTGGAATAGTCATAAATATCTGGACAAGCTGCCATCTGATCCAAGTTATCATCTGGTTTAAGGGAAATAAATAACATTAGCTTCAGACAAATTAGGTTTCATCTAATCCACAAATCTTTGTAAAACATTTGAAGATTGCAATGCTTTATGCATGCAGAAGGATTGTTCCAAAATAGCTTTTGAACTATGCCAAGGCATTACAAATGAATCCATGGCATAAGACAACTTATTAGCTAGGTTTGACAAAGCTGAAAACTTCTAAAAGCCGGGAGAAATCAATTTGGGAACTATTTATTCACCAACTGAATGAGAATGAGGTGTGAATATGTACCACCACAAACCTGCATGGGAGCTTGCATATCACGGTCTCTGTAACTGCTCACAAACATTACCCATTTCAATAGAAATGTACTTCACACCATTCAAATGGTGTAAGTGATCAAAATAAAAATACCCTCAGTGGAATATTTTGGTTTAGATCAAATTTTAAAGATAGTCACTAAAATGTTACTATACTTAGTCAAAAAAAATTAAAAAATCAAATTCAATTTAAATATAAAATAAATGCCATATGTGATCTGTAGAAAGGATTAACCAGATATTAATTCCAGAAACCTGCTGGCACTTTCAATTGAAATTCAGGACATTTTGGAAATGTTAAATTGCAATCCTGCTCAGTGTTCTCGTCTCAGTGATTTAATGAACTGCAGTTTGTCCTGATATGTTATTTACTCTTATGAGACCAGTGTAACAAATCTAAAAAGGTGCCACTATTTCAGACATATGAAGCAAGCAAAGCTATTTGCTAAATAAAATTAGAATAGTCTGAAACATCCAAGCAGCATTGAGTGACATGGGATGCCTGAGATAGCAATACAATAAGTCAGCCGTCACTCTGAACATGCAGGCATATTCTGTTCGTGGTATTTATTGGATTTTCAAGTCAAGGCTGAGTGCACATTCTACATCATTGTAAAGTGCCCCTACTTCTAATACTATCTGAGTGCCAATTGACTGGATGCTGCAGAAGCTTCTTTGATATAAAGAGTTGTTGCTCCGTGTGGTCTGTCGCAAAATGCAGCAGCTAATTACGCAGAGCAGTGTCCCACAAGCAGTTATGGATTAAGTGATCAAATTATCATCATTTTTATTTTGAAGGGATTATTAACCCCGGAAAAGCAATCTGCCAATCGACTACCAACCAGGTTCCTGCATCCTGCTAGGTAAACAGAGGCGTGTGGAATAAGGAAACATGCCCAACGTTTTGCCCAGCCAGGGAATCAAGCCCAGGTCCTCATGCTCTAACCAATATGCTACAGAACTCCACGCCACTAACACAAGTTTGATGCATATGCAGAGATCGACACAATTCCCCACAACAACATTTGTATAGCGCCTTTCATGTCGGGAGGACGTCCCAGTGTTGAGGTTATTTTGGCATGTTCCTCGGAAACATTCTAGACCAAAGTAGTAAATGTATCCAGCATACAGTTACCTTCATGACAGATACCTTCCAACGTGTCAGTATCGTACAAAATGCGTCCAATGTACATAGACCCTGCTCGGTCCTGGTCATGAAAAACCAGCGGATCAGCCATAGCTTCCAGATCAGTATCACTTCCATTGTCCATGTGGCAAAGAGCTTTAAGAAAACAAAAATATTTACTGATCAAATTAATCTGTAAAAGTTTTGTCTATTTTAAATAGTTTTCTTTAAAAAGGTTCCTTGGCCAGAGAAGGAATAATTTAACAAAGGAAATCCACTAGGAGTTGTTCTCAGAAACTGTATAATAGAAATACAACCAATTTCCCCTTTTTTCTCCTCCAGACTCTCCTAGGTGATGTCCAAGTATGAACATAAAAATAAAATGCACGACTGGAACAGTTGAGATAGAACCTGGTAAACAAGTTTGACGGTGGGCTAATATACACGCAAGATAAAACAGCACCAGCTCCCAAATCTCACTGTGAAAATTGACAATGTGGTTATCACAACAAATTGGATTTATATTACAATTTTCATGTTAGAAGTAAAGTTACAAAGCAACTGGAGACAGATTATTGCAGCATCTCAAAAGTTTCTGTGTGCAAATTATTTCTGAAAGCCTACCATCACTTCCTCTGTGTTGAAGCAGATACCCATTCATCGATGCACTCATAAGTTGGTGGTGACTTCCAGCTTCAGATCGGCCATAACCTTCCTGGTGATCTGATAGTGTTCCCTGGGATGACAAGTAGCTTGGGATATCTGCAGGCAAATTTGTCTCGTCTGTGGAACAAAAATAAATTGCAATAAGAGATGGTTTATAATTCTACAAACCTCTGTACAATACAAATATCTGTAAATCCCCCCAAAAAATTCATAAAACTACATCATATTCTCCCCATTCTCTCTTAAAAAAAGTACCACAAAACTATTTTATGTTTAGGTAAGAAAAAGGCAAATGAGAAGAAGCACTGCAGCAGGGATAGATTATTACTTTGAAAGCTAATTTGCAATTAGTTTATATATAATACAAATGTTAAGATAAATGCGGCATATTCAATTTTTGCAATACAGCATCTTCATTTTGCAATTTACATAAGAGAAATATGGCATATAGTCTATTTATTGTGAAAAAATGAAGAATCAGTATATTTTTAAAAAAATAACTTGGGATATGTTAGAATGTAAGAATTTGCTAGGATAAGACGCAGGTCCATCTATGGCGCCTTCTACCATCAGTAGATAAATCTAACAATTCTGAGACAGTGATCAGGAAGATTGTGGAATTGACTCTTGCTTCAGTTCTGAGTTCTGTGATCTTAGCTGAGACAGTGTCCGAAGGGGAAGGAAGGGTATGGTACATCAAATTAGCTGCTACTGCTCATCAACCAGTAATACTTGGTATGCAGTTTAAGAAGAGTATTAACTATCAATAAAAGCCACTTAGACTCTTATATGAAAGTACCAGAGGATTGCCTGCACTTCTGGATCCACACATCAGTAGAGTATTTTTTTTCCATAACTATAAAATATGACAAAAAACGGTAAGAACAATTAAACAAAGGTGGCTTTCACTCTCTATAGTGGGTTGAACCTTTGGTACCAATCAGACAACATTCACTGGTACTGAGGTCTGCTCTGCAATAGACAGAAATGTGCTGCAAAGCTTTCAACTCTGGCAAAAGATTGTGCAATTTACTATGCTTGGGCAAGCATCACTGTCATTTCAAAAACCCCAGAAGTGCAAAATATGTTACAAAAAAATTGAAAATATGTGCATCAAGGAATAAATTATCATTGTGGGACACAGCATCATTTTCATAAACAGGAGGGAAAGAAGGGAAACTGGGATAAATTGAATAGAAATGTTACAAGAAGAATAGATTTGATCATTTTCTTCCTCTTTCAAATATTTGAGGAAGGATCCATAAGTTACAGAATAGTAAGCCCTCTCTTACCTGTGTTTGTCACGCTGCAGTCCTCGCTCTTCCTTCTCGTATGGTAAATAATCACCACCCACACCAATGAAGTGCCAACTACACAGCAAACGACAGCTATAATTACAATTCCAATTGTGGACCACCCATCCTCTTCAAATGGTGTAGCGCTCTGCGTAGAATCACAGTTTGGCGTGGGCATGACATTGAGGAGAATATTGCCCCTCTCGGTTCCGAGCGTGTTGGACATCTCACAGGTATATTTTCCAGCATCCTCTATGCTGCTGTCTACAATAATCAGCAGCTGGTTGCCAGCAGCGAAGAAATGCCTTTCTGTCACAGTCAAAGGGCTGTCATCCTTGGTCCAGTTCAATCTTGGAGGGGGGCTCCCAGCGGCTATACATTGTAGGACAGCAGTTTCACCCTTTCCTACTGTTTTGTCAACCAGTGGTCGTACAAAAGATGGCGTTTCTGGATTAAAAATAAATCAGTAGTTGGTAATATTTTATATAACATTAATTGCAATTTTTTCATACAAGTCAGTTATCTTCTGAAATTCACAAAATAAGAATTTTTAAGGTTGTATAAGTAATCAAATTCCCAACAGAATTAAAACAAATAAAAAGAACAGATCTGTAGTTTTTGGGGTGTTGGAAACTGGATCCTTATTTTTACAACCTAATTTACTTTTGTTGAATAAGAATAAAGAGCATCTCCACTGTAAAATGCTTGGGTTTATATTGCACTGGTTCATTTATAATGCAAATGAGGAGAAGACTCGATTGACGGAGACTGGCTCACTTCTTGCACTGGCTAGCTCCTCTGCTAAAAATGGTCCCAATAGGTCACCGCCATCAACTCCAGCATGCTGAACATACAACAACAACATTTCATTTATAGAGCACCTTTCATGTTGGGAGGACGTTCCAAGGTGCTGGACAGTTGCGTCAGGATCCGAGCAGGGGGAAATAGTCAGAGTGAGGGGAGGGAAGGGAGGGAGCGAGGAGGGGGTAGAGAGTCGAGAGGGGAGCTGAAGGCACGGTCAAAGAGAAAGGTCTTGAGACCGGCTTTGAAGGAGGAAAGGGAGAAAGCAAGGCGAAGGCATTGGGGAATGGAGTTCCAGAGCCTTGGGGCTGAGAGGCTGAAGGCCCGGTTAACGTTGGTAGGGCAGTTGGGGCGGGGGATGTGGAGCAGACCGGAGCCAGAGGAATGGAGGGTACGGGCAGATAAGTAGGGGGATAGTAGGTCGGAGAGGTAGGAGGGAGCAAGGATGGCCTTGTAGGTGAGGATGAGGATCTTGAATTCGATCCTCTGGGGGATGGGGAGCCAGTGGAGGCGAGCAAAGTCTGGTGCGGGACAGTACACAAGCTGCAGAGTTCTGAATGACCTGCAGCTTGTGGAGGGAGGTGCCGAGAAGGCCGGAGAGGAGAGAGTTCCCATAGTCCAGCCTTGAGGTGATAAAGGCGTGGACCAGAGTTTCAGCAGCGTGAGGGGTGAGCTAGTGCCGTAGTCTGGCGATGTTTCGGAGGTGATGGAAGGCGGTGCCAGTTGTGGCGCGGATATGAGGAAGAAAGGACAGCTCAGGGTCGAACAGAATACCGAGGTTCCTGACTGGCTTTGAGAGGTGGAGAGGTGATGGGGGCAAGAGTGTCAAGTGTGGAGGAGAGGGTGTTGTGGAGGAGGGTGAGAACAGAAGAGGGGTCAGTGAGGGTTGAAGGCCAGAGGGAGAGGAGTTCAGAGGACTCCAAGGCAGCGGTTAGGGATTGTGGGGGGAACTTCTTCCAGGGGCAGTAGAAGATGGTGGTGGGTCTGGTGGAGGTGGGGAGGGGGGTGGAGGTGGTGAAGGAGATGAAGTGGTGATCGGAGACGGCCTTGTCGGTAATGGTGACATCTGAGACCCCGGGTGATCATCAAATCGAGTGGGTGGCTGTGACTGTGAATGGCAGAGTTGATGTGGAGGGAGAGGTTGAGCGAGGAGAGCAGGGAGAAGTCCAAGGAGATGGAGCAGGAGGGGGTGAAGTGCACGTTGAAGATGCACAGGAAGTAATGTCGGTGACAAACTGATGACCCAGGAGTTGACCAATGCACAGGAAGCAAACTGGTCAGCCTCACCATGATAATAAATAACTACCAAAACTTTGTTATTATACAGGTTACAATTTTATGGACCTCCAGCTAAAGTCTTATCAAGTGATTCCACTGCATTTGGTTAGAACGTACCTAGTACAGTTAGTGTTGCGTTAGCAGAAATGGTTCCTGCACTGTTTTGAGCTGTGCAACTGTAGACTCCAATGTCCTCTATTTTCACATTCACAATAAAAAACACATCATCCTCTGGCATAACGTGCATGCGTCTCTCTCGTGCAGCAGGGAAATCTGTTCCACCATCTTTTTGCCAGGCTATCTGCGGTATTGGGTGACCAAGCGCTGCACATTCCAAACGAGCCATGGCTCCTGCTCGTATAGTAAGGTCTGTTGGAGACTTTGTGAATGATGGCAACACTAAAAAGACACAAAGCAATTGGAAATTTGAATAAATGCCAACATATTTTTCTGAATTCCATATACAACCACAAGTTCAACCGCACAAAAAGCCTATCCTACATGGAGATACCCATGACTGCATTTTATTTGCCACCTGATGCCTCCTCTATATTTCCTGCAGATATCACTGCTCTTGGCAGTGCTGAAAGAAGTATATGCTATGTAATCACATATGTAAGACCTCCCACGAGAGAACTGAGCTTATGAATCTCAACAACCAACTGCAAAAGGGAATGGGAGGAAGGCGGCCTTACATTTAGGCATTGCTCTCGACCTCTGCTATGGTTATGTAATAATAGGTCAGGTTCATTATGGATGCCACTGATTTTCTGTGGATTCATGGAATATCATCTTGCCGCATCCAGGAAACCAAAGCCAGAAGGAAATCAGCAATTTAAAATATACAGGTCGAGGCAGCATAAAAAGTGGCCCTTGCTTAAGCAACACTGGTCGAACTGTCAGGAAATGATAAACCCTGTTGTTATTATCAATGAAATGCTTCTCTATGTCTCCATAGTATTTTTACATCTTATAGACAACTAACAAAATGATCAGGGTAAAGAGCATGATAAACTAAATACTAACAGATATGAATAAAAATAGAAAGTAGCTGCTGAAAGACAGGAGAAAGATTTTAAAGCCGCTCTCCAGGAGAAAGTTTGGGCAATACTTTGAAGTAAGCTAGAGCAAGCAATAGCTACTCGGATAATATGCATTAAAACTTTCTGGCATTTCAAATTAATAATATTCTTTAATTCTTTAATTAAAATTCAGTTGATAGACCTCTTAATAACATGATACATACTATTCACAGTCAGCTTGGCCTTGTTGGAATATGATGAGCCAAAGTGATTGGAAATCACACATTGGTATTTCCCTTCACTGCTGAAATTGACATGTCGGAGACGTAGAATTGTAGTATATTCCATAACTTCGCCACCTTGGGAGCGGAGGTGTGCATAGTTCTCGATTTCACTATCATGCAGCAATTCATTGTCCTTCTTCCAGGCAAATGTCATTGGCGAATCACTGCTGCTGGCTGCTGAGCAGATGAAAGTCACATTGGATTCCTTCACTGCTGCTTGGGTTTCTGGTTGCTCAATGATCTCTGGTTTGGGGAAATCATCTGTGAACAAAATTTAAAAGTTTAATTTTCATTAAAAAAACGAGATTTGCTGGATTAAATCTAGTTTTGAAGAAATAACTGCAATGCTTCATAAACGCAAGATGTAATGCATAGAATTTAAGTTTTAACAGTAAATGTAAATACTCTTGTCATCATGGCTAAATGATATGCCATTTTGATCTCGTAAACTCACCGCATACAAAATCCTCTGGTTTGGTGGCAAATATACTTTTTCCTTTCAGCCATGGAGGATGAGCACAACTAGCATTAATGAATGGCTGAAACCGATTGTCTGCCACCCATTCGTGCAGCCACTTTAGCTGGCAATCACACAGAAGACTAGAGGTATTCAAATGCCTGAAGAGAAAGAAATATTCATGAGACACACCAAATAAAATTCATGGAAACTCTAAAAGAATGTTGAGATCAAGAGAGATCACACATGAATTGGGCATTTGAACATTACAAGTTAGAGCCATCATTACCTTTCTCACTCCCTTATGAAAGTCCAAAGCTCTCCCTCGCTTTACCTCTTCCCTTGATTCAAGAACCAATGACCCGTCTGATTGATTTTTAGTCAGAAGTCCTGGATGAGTTTTAACTTTCTTTCACTAAATATCAACACCACCAAGACTCTCCTGCTCGGCTCCCATTAGTGCCTTCTCAACACGGATGCTCACTCATGACCTTGCTGTCATGTTCAACTCCCATCTGTCCTAAAATCATACGTCCGGTCTCAAACCAACAATATCACTCGCCTCTGCCATTACCTCTACCTCAGGGCTGCTAATACCCTCACGCACGACTTCATTACGTTCTGGCTCGTTTATTTCAACACTAGGAGTCCTGTAGTTCAGTGGTTAGAGCACTCGCTTTGCAAGTGAGGGACCTGAGTTCAATTCCAGGCAGGGCGAAACCTTGGGCAAGTTTTCTTACTCCACACAGAGCCTAATAATAATCCCTCCAAAACCAAAAACAATAATAAATTGGTCATTTTCAATCTACGACTGTTTGTGGGACATTGCTGTGCGCAATTGGCTGCCGTGTTCGCCCACAAATATACAGTCAATTCACTTTACAGTGTGTTCTGTGAAGTGCTTTGGGACGTCCTCCCGACGTGAAAAGCGCTATATCAAATGCAAGGATTATTATTATTACTATGTCTGCTGGATTCCCAGGTTCCTCCCTACACAAGCTGAGCACCATCCAGAACTCTGCAGCTCATGTCCTGTCTCGCACAATGTTTCGTAAGACTATCAACCTAATTCTCACTGAGATCCTCTGGCTCCCCATCTGCTTCCCCACGTGCTTCAAACGTAAGATCCTTGTCCTCGCATTCAAAACTCTCCAGCTCCCTCCAACCTACCTGTGCAACCTTCTGATATCATACTGCTTTGGCTGCTCCCTCCATTCATCAAAACTGGCTTGCTTCATGTCCCCCTGCTCAATCTGTCTCGCAAGCTTTCAATCATTTTGGCCTTCTCTCTGGAACTCCATCCCAGGGTTCCTCCACCTTGCCTAGCTCCCCACCGTCCAAACACACCTTAAAAACAATTTTCTATTGCACTTTTGGCCACCTCTCCCCACATACCCACCCTCAGTATGAGCTCCCAATTACCCCTGAGTTGCACTTTTTGAGACATCCTTCTGTTGTGAAAGGAGTTATATGAATGTCAATTGTTTTTCTTGTCGTGGTCGAACATCTGGAACTTAATTTAAAATGCAATTGCAACCGTCTCAGTTACCACACTGTGTTTCAAGCCAATGAATACTTACAATTCACGAAGCTTCTTCATTTGAGAAAAGGTATTGCTTTGAACAGACATGATGGCATTATTGTTCAGATCCCTGTAAAAAAGCATAGAAAATAAAACACCATGTCAGTGTCACCTTCAACAGAAACACTCTGCATTACAAGTAACTGTTTAACTTTCTTATACAACTATCATAACTTTGCCCATTTTTTTATTAAGCTAAACAGGTCCTGCAATGGTTGATCAAACAGTAACAATGTGTTCCAAAGGTCAGTAAACTTCACTTGCTCCACAGAAGCCCATTAATCCCCACTTTACATCTTTTGTAAAGCCCAAAGAAAACAATGAAACCATACTTCTTTAGCTAAGTGCTCAGTAATTCATCTCTATACCCATACACAATACCACCTATATTCTTTATGAAAATCGCTTACCTCTCACCCTATACTGGCTATTCAACTGAACTGATCAAGCATTCTGGAGCAAGTCAACTATTCAAGATCATTGACATTAATTTTCATAAAATATTAATATTTAACTAGCTGAAGCTGCATCAAATTATAGGATACTTACAGGTGTTCAAGCGCATCCAGGCCAGAAAAGGCTTTTCTCGTGATTGATCGGATTCGGTTCCCTTGTAGCCCCCTGGAATAGAAACATTTACTTCAGGTTGAACAATAATCCATATAGTACATTTGAATAACCTTGAAAATAAATTAAGTAGGACAGAATCGTTGAATATTGTAGGTAAATCAAACTTCTGGGTCGTATAAAAATCACTTTCTAATGGGGCTCATGCTCTCAAGCACTCTTAATCTCACAAGAAACCACTGAAAAATAACTAACACTTTGCCAAGCACCACATGAACACTGCCAATTCTGAAATTAAAAATCTGCAGACTCTTCAGTCAGCTGTCAGCTCGGTGTGACAAGATATCCATTTTTATGTTATATGTAGAGTCCTGCTTATTTTGTCTATTTACAATGTATTCAGCTAGAACTTTGTAGCCTGCATTCTCTCCCACACGAGGCGCTGTAACTCCATTACCCCATGCTGTCTGACTTTACTGGCTCCCTGTGCCCCTCCTAGTAGAGTGGCTTTAAGATCCATATTCATATCTTTAAATGCCTCCACCCACCCTACCTCTGCGTCTCCTGCAACTACTTCCCCAGCTATTCCCTTCGCTCTGCCAAATCTTGCCTGCATCACACCCCGTTCTCACCTTCAGTAGGCGACTGTTCAAAGACCTGTACAGAGTCCTGAACCTCTAGAAATCTCTTCCAAGATCACCTCTGCCTTGCCCCTCCGTTTTCAAACTCAGGGTCAAGAGATTTGCCCCCTTTGGCTACCACCACACTAACCCTCTTTTCTCTCTCTTAGCTCAGGCTCACATTCCATTTTAGTAAAGTGCTTTGAGATGTTTATTTACCCTGCACGAGCAAGTGCTATAAAAATGCAATTGTTGCTTTTATAACAATTCCTTATATTCAAGTTACATGTACAAAATATTGGACAATGATGTATGCAGAAAAGACTCATAAAATACTTACAATTTTCTAAGATTGCTTAATGCAGAGAATGCCCCATTCATGTCCTCAATAGTCCAAGATATTTCATTATTTTTCAGGTCTCTGTTGGGTATAAAATAGTTTAGCTATTTCAGAAAGTGTATATTTTAAATTGACTCAAACATTTTTACATTGAAACAAATCACTGCACAATGACTTCACTTCTACTTTTCTTTAGCTAACTCTTTTAAGTGACCTTTACTTATAATATGTACATTTGCCTGCTTCCCCTCCTTACTCAAATCTGTTGCACTGATTCATGCTAAGTACAGGACCAGACTGACAGTGGTCTTTCAGAACTTACCCAAGTAGCCAGTCTTCACGTATGAGCCTGCACAGTGAATGTTAGTGGGTTATCAGGCTGTGGAAGGCATCATAACTAAACCCAACCTGGTTGCAATAGAACATCATTTGCGTGCTTTCCAGCAGGGATTATTGGATAGTGATCAAGAACAGGAACTCTTAAAGATGATTTCTTCATACCCAACCACCCCTTTACAGCTCAGGAGTGCTGAAACCATTAAAACAATCCTAATCTTTCACTAGCTGCAATCAGAATGTAACTTTTGGAGTGTACGTATTAGCCCTGAAAAACTATTATAATTTCAACACCTAACAGTGCTCATCACTGAGAAATGAAAACTATTGTTGATCTAATTACTGACTAGAACAGAATTTAATTTAAAAAAAAGTACAATAAGATTGAGCCACTGAGGATGCATTTTGAAAATCAACAATCACCCACAGCCAGCAGTTAAGATTGCATAATCCGTTTTCTATTAAAAAATGCCTTTATAGTATAGGATCGTATTAGCTCCAGTGATACAAAAACAAAAAAAGGGCCCACATGAAATTGCATTGACTTGAATTTCAATCGTCAGTGGACTGAGCTACCCTTTCATCGTTCCAAACTACTAGTTTCCTTTCTGCTTGGCTGGCTTACTGAATGACCTCGGGGCTTTGGTAATCAGCTACACACTTGCCCTTCAATGACCTCGTGAGCATATCTATGCATTTCTTTGGTTTTTACACCACTAAAGAACCATCAGGCTTTCAGAACAATACTGCTTAATTAAGTCTCACTTGGTTCTTTTCAAACCTACTCAGCAACCTTTTAATTGTTTTGTTAGCATCATTGCTGTTACAGTATAAACTGGGGGAAGGAGTGATGATAGCAATACAGTTTGAAACTGCCCCAATATACCGTGGGTGTACCATGAACCTGAGCTATACTGGAAACATGACACACTTCTGACGATGAATGACTTACTTCCTGGGCGCTTGCCCACATAGGAAATGACACCATTTTATATTGCTCCTTGTTTTATGGACGCAAATCACAAAGCTATAACACGATTGGATTGTAATCCAAACCCCGCACAAGTGAAACAGATGGAAAAACAGACTAAACAAAGCTACCCATGTAAATGAAATAATGATTCTTATGAGCAAAGCCTTTCATTTCACCCAGCTATAGATTGATCTCAAAGACAACAATTACTCTTGGAAGAAAAAAAGAACTTAAGGTTTGCACTGTATGTCAACTATTTAAATGGAAATAGAGCTAGCACAGCACACATGTTCACAATATTGAACAATGGCAATTTAGCTGAACCAAATTTTTTTAAAAAAATAAGAGGAATATTTCTTGGCAGGAGGGTTTCTTCTTGGAAATAATTCTTAATGGGTGATTGCCTTAGGGATTCTTGGTCAAAATTCATCAGGCTTGACTATATCAATTTCTATAAGCATGAGGTAACACACTGGCACATGTAGGTGGAAATAAAGACTGTTCAACCCATACACTTTTCCTAATAGAAACATTCACAGGCAAAAACGTACAGACTGTATAAGCTGGAAAGTCCTCCAAAGGCACCATCGGCAATGTAGTTCACTTGGTTGTTTCCTATGTAGAGCTGTCCAAGTAGGCTCAGACCTACAAAGCTGGATTCTTCCAAACGACTTAACTCATTGAATGAAAGATCTCTGTCAACAGAAAACAAATTCAACATTGGAAACGAAATCCAGAAAGGCTCTTATATGCTGTATTTAAGCAATCGTAGATTCAAGTATAAACAAATCCCAGGAGCTACCTAATTGAACAGTTCTAACAAAATCATGTATTTATAACAACAATTTGATAAAGTGCCTGCAACACTGAAATACTTGAAAACGCTCAACTGGAAGTGGCTGTTAAGTGCAGTAAAGGTGCACATACAGCAATGCTCCACAAACAGTAATGAAGTGAATGACCAATTTATTAGGAGGACTGTTGGCCAGCCCACCTGGAGAAACGTTCAGAATAGTGGTGTAGCGGTTCTGCATTTCAGCCAACCTTCGACAATGTAATGTGTCCTCAGCACTGCAATGGCGTGTCAGCCTGGACTGTGAGCTCAAAGTTCCAACTCCCACAACCCAATTCACTCTCTTTATATTGCATGTTTGGTTAATAGAGCCAATTATATAAATGAAACATTTACTATTTAAAGGCGAAACTGTTGATTTCTAATATCAGTCAACATGCCATGGTCACATTTTTGTTTGCTAATAATGCACATGGATGCTGATATTATCATTAAATTACCTATCATATTACCCATTCATCATTACATTTGTTCATTTAAAAGTTTGTGTTTTCTTCCAATGCTGGGAGTTATTGCCAAAGCAAGATACCAAATGGTTAAAAAATATATTCATAGTGGTGCAGGTAGGTGTCCCTTTAAAAATAAAATACACCACACTGCATTTCTTCAAATCCAATTACATTTCATCCTCTCGTTGTAATTTTAGCGTCATTTTGATCTCCAACAGTAAGTAGGAGAATGAGGCAGAAAAATGAAACCCTTGGCAGATAATGCATCTGGTTCAGAAAGAAATGTAATTCTCCTTGAGAGATGCCTTTGAAATTTGATTCCGGAAACCTGAATATTTCTGAATTGTTAATTGGTACAGCTGTGCACATGCCAGGTGGCAGGGTAAAAGTTCATAAGTAACAGGCAGGGTTATAACCATTACAAATAGGAAGGATCAGCTAAATCATTTTGTTCATGACAGGAAGCCACAAAACTATCTGTGCTTCAAGAAATTGCTGTACATGAAAGACACTACGTAGAGACAAAGATATAGGATGCTGCATGGAAACAAAAACATCTTAAATCGATACATAAATCAAATAGCTTCACACAAGATGTAATAAGCGAATCTCCAGACATAGTGCTCATTTGCATTTTGAATTTTTCAATCAGAGGTTATATGAAGTGATATAGTATATAGTTGGTGTAACAATAGAATTTGTTTCGCCCACAAATATACAGTCAATTCACATATCATGTGAAGCACTTTGAGACGTCTAGAAGACATGAAAAGCGCTATATCAAATGCAAGGATTATTATTTTATGGAAGCACTAAATACAAATATATAAATCAGCTCTCAGAGTCAAGGTTCAGTCATGTTCAGATTAAATGAAATCTGTTTGCTGCTCCTAAACAAAGGAGGGCAATGCCTGATCAAGGACTCCAACAACCAGACAAAGGCCACCCAACTTCAAAACAAGGCTGCAGTGAGTCACATTATCATGTCAAGAGAACAGGTGACCCAGAAAGACTTCTTGATCCTGTGAGTTCATCTGAATCCCAGGTTGAAACAAAGTCCCAAGAAAATCAGTTATCATGTTTCCTACACAATGATTTGATACATAAAGTGTCTGGATATGTTGGGTGTGACACAAATGCTGAATTTATATTAGTGTTGCCTCTGGTGGCATTCTGCTGATATGTAGTGCTGCCTCCAGATGCACAATCATTTCGAGAAGAGTTTTCTCCTCCATCTCTTTGGGTAGCACAGGGAAATGGGAGTTTCTGCTGCTGTCTTGGACCGTGCCAGACGCAATTATTATTGCACAACTTTGCAGCTTTTGGTTTATACTGCAATGTACAACAACTAATGCAGCATTTGCGAGAGCGCCACCTTTGGAGGTGCTGGCCTTCATTTGAGATGCTAAACTGAGGTCCTGTCTGCCAGTTCAGGTGTGATTAAAAACCCACAACACTATTCAAAAAGAGGAGGAAGTTTCTCTTAGTGTCCTGACCAACAAAGCTCCAGTTAATTAGTCATTCATCTCCAGTGAATTAGTCACAGCATTCAGGACAGTGCTGTGCGTAAAACTGGCTGCTGTATTGGCACAAATAGTTATTACATGTTGAAGCAAACTCTGTGAAGCACTTGCAGACTTTGACTTTATAAGGGACTACATATCAAGTGCAAGAACTATTATAATGATAATGAAGCCACACACCAAGTATAATGTGCTGAGAGTATCTGATCAATCCTTCTCTTAAGATTCGGTTCTTGGTAACTTGTTTCCTCGAAGGGAAAGGTATAGGTGTATATATATATACACATAATATATAAATGTTATATATTATATTTACACACAAATAAATATATAAATAAATGGGGTGAGAATAACATGATGACAGTGGTAGTAAAAAGTTAAGCTAGGGTCAAGTTATCAGTTTGTTGCATATGAATGTTAAATTAGATCTCCATTATGAAACAGGTTACTCTTATTTTTCAGTGCCAATACATTGAAAGGTTCTCATAAACGATGATTTCCAAGTAATAATACGCAATGAATGTGTGAGTTACAATGCAGTGGCATAATAACGGGACTCAAATAACAGAATCCAAAAGTAATGCTTGATATTTCCTCGTAATCAGCTGCCAAATATTTCATAGTAAGTTGTAAGTCAATGCATCACAACTGCTGGTATATTTTGCACAAACATCTGCACGCAATTAAGAAGTTGAGACCATCCCTTTTGTTCTTGTGGTTTATGAAATAATTTGGACTCTTCAATCTGATTACTACCATTGTAAGTACTCAAAAGGTATCCCTTTACTGCGCAGTTCGTTCAGTTAGTGGCCATGATCATTTTTTTTATTGCAGTTGGTGAAAAAAATACACACAAGTTAGCACATGACCACTGAATATAAACATTTTTCATTGAAATGCCTCGTATATCACAGGGCAATAAGTCGGTTATCATGTGACTTGGCAGATGTAAAATTAACAGGAGGAAGGGAAGAGGAAAACCACCCACTACACAAAAGAACAAGTCATCTTAAAATCTTAACAGAAATCTGCCATGTCATAAGAAACCTGATTTGGTCACTTGGTTATGATAACTCTCAACACAAATGCCAATAATTTGGCATGATGTCAATGCATAAACTGAAATAGAATAAAAGTTACTTACAGCTCACTGAGTTTCTGGCAGAACTCCCATGCATCTGGGCTGATCTTATTGATGGCATTCTGGCTGAGATTTAGTTGTTGCAACATTAGCAAGCCGTACAGCCATCCCTTGGTTACTTCGGTCAGGTTGTTAAAATCTAGTTGTCTGGAATAATTTTTTTAAAAATCAACTCACAGTATCTTAAAAATTGTTTAACAGTTCCTATAAACATTTGTTACAGTTAAAATCATGATGAAAGCCATTTAAGAGATTGAAGAAACTGTGGCTGAATATTGTAAAACGAGCATAAATTTCTAAAGCTGCAAGGCTTAGAAGTCAGCGAACCCATCTTACTTTTTTTCATACTCTGCTATAAGTACTGTAGGAAAAACAGATTTTGCTTAAAATCTTAACCCAATTCTGTAACTTTTGAATTCTAATCTTTCTCATCTGCAATGAACTTCAGAATTTTTGGCCAATAATGTCCTACTTTTCTCTTGAAAGTACTGGCTCTTGCTTGGATGCAGTTTCATAAGCATTGCTATCACATCATTTGAGCAGCCGTTCTTCGCTGTGTGCCCAGACAGAGAGTGCTGATAAGTGGGAAGTATTACAGACAAACCTGATTCTAATCTCACCACATTTACACTTTCCATCATGAACCCTTTCACTCTATAGTTCAGGGATGCTGAGATAAACTGCTGTGCCCCAAATGTTGCTCTGAGTGGGATCAGCTCATCAAGGTGTAGACCAGGAATCAAATTTGAAATCGTTTTAGTCAGTATTTCTTATTTAAAACACTGAACTACCGATGTTTACCTACAAGACCATTTGATAAATCTTGTTTCATATACTACCCATTTCAGAAACTTGTCAATTATCCAGAAAATAAATTTATTGAAGCATTAAAACAGTACTTACAAAATCTCAATGTTGCTCAATCCCCAGAAAGCTCCATCCATCAGTTTATTAATGCCATTTCTTTGCATTTTAAGAGATTTTAAAGTGCCAAGTCCTTGAAACGTGAGGCCATCTACTTTCTTAATCTTGTTACGATTGAGTTCCCTGCAACAAAGCATAAAAATCAGACTTCTTTGATAGACTGACATTTTTCCCCTGACTAAAAACAGCAGCTTTGAGATTTAAATCAAAATAATAAATTAATGTTTATTAAATCAAAATGTGCATAAGGTCCAGCACAACTGAGATGCTTCAGAGCTGTTGTAGTAATATTGCTGCAAAGTGGACTTACAGGAGTTGAAGATTTGACAGCTTAAACATCTTTGGAGGAATAGCTGAAATTTTGTTCCGGTTTAATTTCAGAACTTGAAGTGTATTGGACAGATTGTCAAAGGCACCAGGCTCGAATGATGTTATTTTGTTACTGTTGATGTATCTGAAAGATTNAAAAAAGCACAGAGAATTAGTTATCTGTACAGCTATTTTTCCATGTCATGGTCATGAATTCTTCATTGAACTATTTAGTAGTCTCGTCACTTCTGATAAATACACACTCCAAAATGCAGCAGAGACACCATTCCCATCATAAACTATACATCCCGTTAAGTGGACAAACAAGCACATCACATTCAACTGATCTAACAGGGCTGCTTCATCTCTGCATTAAACCAAAACATATTACTAAATGTGTCCATCATACTAATACATTTTTATACTAAGCCTCCAGATGCATTATGAACAATGCTCGCTTGTAGTTCTGATTGACCCTGGAGTGTCAGTCAAAATGCAGCCCCATCGAGTGTTTAAGAATGCTGGTGTTTTCCACTCATGCTCTGGCTCCTCCCCTGCTTGACTTCCCTTTGCATTTTGGGGAAACTTATGTTTGGTGCTTGGTCACCGCCCCCTGTAGTTTTCAGAAGGCATCCTTGTACTACGGTACCACTCCTCACTGGCCAGATCCACCACACTGACAGCGAGAGTTCAATCCCGGTGTTCCCCATCTGTGGATTGCCTGTCTTTTTGGAGCCTCAGATGACCTTTTCAATCAGCTCAATAGTGGTGGTGGTGCCATTTCCCCACCACCCCCAAACAATTCTCTACATTAGCAAATCAACATGAAAGGTACTACACATTTTATTGTATTGTAAATTTCTAATTGAGCATTTGGCCTGTAGAACAGTGGATATAAAGAGAATTTCAGAAGGTCCTGCAGCAAAAGCTGGTAGAATTTTAAGTTACTCTTCAAAGACGTTTTGAATTTTTAAACAGTGTGAAATCTTCAATATTTTGATTCTCGCATGTCCTGCTTATTGAAGAAAGCACCACTGACTTAATAAGTTTCTAAATTTTCTGCATAAAAAAAGCATTTTATGAATTACTCCAGAAGAACTTTTAAAAGGCAGAACTCACAAATTTCGAAGTTGGAGATGAGGGAATGCTTTCAGTTCCAAAATGTGATTGTTACTAAGATCCAGAGTTTCCAAGGACTGAAACTGTTTCAGCTGATCAGGGTGTACCTCATTAATTTTGTTATTAGATCTGCAAAGTAAACAAAAAAGGTTGAACAAAAACTACTTTCACAGAGGTGCAAACCCTTTATAAACAAAACAAAGGAAGAACAAGACAAATATAACACTACATTTTATTCGGTAAACAGACTACAAGATAGCACTACTTCATGCCTTTTCCTGCTCATTGCAGTTTTCTTTCATGACATCTCATTAATGTAATGTCTTCAGTAAGCTCAGAGGCATTTCTTTCCAATTTGGTCCAATTTTGAGATCGAGTTTTCACTGGATCCAAACATCTTCTATCCATTATCCTGTGCGTCTGCACAAACACAGTAGCTGCTCAGAGTTTAAGACTGGTATTTGACAATTCTATGCAGCAGCTCACACCAGCAATGCAAAGAGCAGTTAAATACCTATGGATTTGTGTGTACAAACATGCACTTTCTAATGCGGGGTACACAAGCTGAAAAAAATGGAGAATTGGGTGGTGGGGGTCGGAAATAAGTGGACTTTTGGGTTCTAAGCTTGTGGCTTTTCCTTTACAAGTCTCTTACTTAGCCATTCATCACGTTGTTGGCACAATGAGACAGAATGTCAAAAGATATGTAATGTAAATAAGGACCATTAGTCAATTAGTAATAATAAAAAGAATCTTTGCATTTGATATAGCGCCTTATCACGTTTTTGAGGGGTCTCAAAGCACTTCACAGAATATACTGTAAAGCGCTGTATATTTTGTGGGCGAAGTGCGGCAGCAAATTGCACACAGCAGTGTCACACAAACAGTAACGAATTGAGTGATCAAATTTTTAAAAAATATTTTTTGAAGGGATTATTACCTCTTATTAATGCACAAAATAAAATCCCAGGATTTCTTGAGCTGTTCTTTCTGGGAAAAGAACAGGAGAAAATTGGGGGATGGGGTCAGAGAAGAAATGGATACAAAACACCCTGATAAATTTAGTGAAGATTGGGATTTTGGAACATCCACTTAATGGTCAATACGTGCACATTCACAGAACTGGCAATGTAGCGAGGCCTGCTCTGGCACATGTGTGAAGCGCCATGGATAATGGGGAAATAAATTCAAATGATTTTTTAAAAAAAAAACTGAATGACTTTCACTGAAGAGCAGTAAAAATCCATAAACAACACTTTATTGGTCTTGAAGTACAATGGAAGATTTACAAAAAAAAGCCAGAAACTGAACCAGTCTGATCGTGTTTTGAGAAAAACAAATACGTTTGCAATCTTGTCAAACCGTATCATCAATGGTAGAAAGTCAGCTGCTTAACTACATGACCTTAGGGATTCCCTCCTGCAAGTTTAGCCCCAGTTAGCAAAAACAAAGCTCTAAATTGAAGCACTGCAATCACGGCTGGTAATTAACAGATCTGTCTTTGTAAACTACAATGTTCGACTTGAACAATCATAAATTACATTCATTTTCTAAGAGCTTATCTGGTGTGTTCTTGTTTACCTGAAAAAAATATACAAAACCATAATGTAATCATCAAATTTCAACACAAAGAACATTTTCTTCCTGGATATGTTTGCATGATCCTTTTCTTTTTATGTCTTTCCCCACAGCTATATTGAAGATATTGATCAATACAATTTTGTCCAATACAATATTGTGCTTTGTGTTAGCATATTGTTCAAATCCAGAGGGAAACAGCAAAAGTTGGAAAAGATCTGCCAACTTCTATCATATTTAAGCATTTAGAGACACTACCGATAAATGCACGCTGTTATATTTGGAAACTAAAAGGCAAGATCAAAACACACAAAATTTAGAATCCTATTTAATCTAATTGATTACAGCAAAATAATTCCTATTTATTTTCAAATGACAATAAATATGAGGCCCAGTTTCACAAAGCCATTGAAACAATGTATTAACTGGGGGTGATTGGATCTTGCTTTTTTCTTAGATTTGAATTTGGTAGTTCTTTTTGATTTGTGGACAACTTTTCTAATAATCTCACTGTTTGGGGTCTGAACTGCTAAATACACAAAAGGATTACCAAACAGTAAATCCTGAATACAGCTCGCCTAAACTTCATGAAACTCAATACTGTTCAGCGTCTGAGTGGGAGCTCCAAATGCTTCCAATGGCAACCTCAATGGTAACTGCAACATGCATATTAGGGTAAAGTGTACAAAAGTAGTTTTCCAAACCTTGAGTTTGCCTACCCCACCATGTACGTGTATTGTGGGAGAGGGGGGGGGGTGGGAAAGAACCCAAAAGATTTTTATTTGCTTTCTTATGGTAATGGTACCATCACAGCTTACAAGTAACCAACGAGGAAAAGCTCTGGAAGAAGCCTACAAACTGACTGAAGTGCATAAGTTAAATGTAAACTGCAAGACTGATTTCAGCTCCAGTACTATAGGAACAGGAGGAAGCCGTTCAGCCCTTCGATCCTGTTCCGAATGATGGGCAGCAGCAATTTTATACAAAAGAGCAATAAGCCAAAAACATTTGGTTAACACAAAAGGCGGTTCATTTTGTTGCATCCTTCATGGAATTAAGTTACTACAAGCAACCTTGAAATTAAGGAAGATTACTTAATCAATTTTCTATTGTCTGAAAAATACAAAAACATAATTGTTAGCTTCTAAAGTGGCTTGATTTTAATGTCAATCAGCATTACAAAGGCTCAATAGGTGGGAGAAATAGCAGCTCCACACACAGTAGTTAGTGCCTCGAGAATGCAGAGCTTCAACAGATAGGACTGCAGCTGGCCACAGCTCTGCAATCTTAATGAGATAGATACTGGGGTTAATTGGGGCTTGTTTTGAAGATAGATAATATTGTGGCAGCATCTACAAATTCAGTGCTTCCTAAATGTAAAACTGAAAAGAAACAAAGTTATTGAGGAAGAACAAACACAGTAAATGGTGCAATATTCCCATTTAAAATTAAGGTTTTCTTCAAGAGTTGAAAGACTTTACTTCCACATTTGATTCATGCCCTCATACTCACTGACCGTACAAAGACCGTACAAAGCTCCTCCAAGTTCTAAGATCACTTACACAGACTTCAGCACAAGAGAAAGTCATTCTTTTTAATGGTTGCAGATGACATTGCTAAGACTTACCAATTTAACTTCAAAAATGAAAGGGACTGTGTACCATACAATCTTCAAAAGGAGGAGTAGCAAGGTTTAAACAATTATGTCATAATATGGTGCAGTTGGTAGAAAGCTCCTTGTCCATATCGTCGAGCAAGATAACATTCATACTTTTTAAACCTAGCTGCTAAATGCAACTGTTCTAATCTTTGCCTGTCATAAGGCACCTTTTGTACTTGGCTCTCCAATGGTCTTTCAAATGGGGACGAGTTAATCTTGCTTCTACAATGGACCTGCACATTGCGCAGGTTTCAGTTTACATGTGCTCAAGATCGAGTGGTCTCAGAGTCAAAACCTGAATATCCAGTTTAACTTTGGATGCAAACCCAATCTTTCAGGCTACAGCCAGCTTGTGAATAAAGAAACAACTGTCAGAAAGCTCCAAATGCTTCATACCTTTCGTACACAGTTCGGCCTCAGGCTTCTTAGATGGAAGCTGCAATGCTTAAAGACTTCATGTCCACAGAAACATTCTGTCTAGTTATTATTTCTCTTTCCTAAACTAGGTTGAATTTTTTAAATTGTAGAAACAGTAAAGTGGGCCCATGACTCAACAGTTTATACTTCTCTCCAGTACGATCAACTTGGGTGTTTCATGGATAACCATCCACCCATACCACTCGGTCACAGTAGTTAGGAATGAAAAGACGCCATTCAGATCATCAAGCCCGTTTTTCTTTAGCCACTTATGAACTTATCCCATTATGTTCCCTACCCTACCCATTTCATCTGAAGGAAAATTCTGCATAAATTCTCCTTGACCCACAGCCACGAAACTAACCTTCAGTAATAATTTTCCATCTTCGTATCTCCAGTACTCAACAATGTACTGCTCTCCACTGACAACATCTCACCCTTCCTCTGGCTTCAGTGGCACAAGAGCAATCTTGATTCTTCAACAGTTCAGTGAACTTGTGTTCATTTTCTCTGCCTGCTCCACCCCACCCCCACCCTAATTCAATGCAAAAGTATATAGAAAATGCATAGGCAAGTCAGAATAACGAGCTCAGGCTAGTGTTTCATATTGGAATATTCCACACTCGCATAAATTTCAGACATCATTCCTCAAATTCCAATATTTGTCTAGAAATAAGAGAACCAAATACTTAAGTCGTTTGCCAAAAGTTTTGATTCTTGTACTACAATTTGAGCTCAGAAAGACAGTAAAACTGTTTGCTGTACAAAATCAAAGGTCAAAATCCAGCTAATGAAAACAGATTTTTTGGAAAACAATATTTCACCTGATGGGAGAAAACAAAGGGAAATTAAAAATCACCTAATGAAGGAGATGCCACCTGTACGAGATTAATACAAGTGGCTTCCCATCTCATTTGTTTCCTTTCTCCTTAATCTATCATCCTCTAAATTCAGAGGTTAGTACTGTACAAATAATCTGCTCACACAACAACCAGAGGTTATTTGTTAGAGCTAACAATAGAGTCTGCCTTTGGGTAAGGCATAGAAAACCGACACTTATCTTTTCTAAAATATACTTAACACCATTTGAAAAGGAATTCAAAATGCTTAGTGAACTCAGACATCTCAAATAAACATCNTTTTTTTCCACACACATTTTAAGCAAGGGAAAAGGTACTTCAAGGGTCCAACATAAACTTGGATTATGCCATTAACAGCTCTTCTACAGTCAGTTATCTCAATGCAAAGGATGGGTGGTGTTGGGAAACAGGTGGAACTGATGTCACGTTCAGATGACAAGATACCCTGAGGCTGTCCGTTATGTGAATTACACCTTGTTTACACTGTAGGGTAAATACTCTCGCAGCAAAGGAGTCAACACAAGAAACAACTGAACAAGTGCACAACTATGCATGTATTGCTGATGCAACCAGCAAGCCTTCCTCGATGTTTGGGAAGATTCACAGAAGCCAAT